TAATCCGGAAAGTCCGGGTATCGTCTCTCAGGGACTGGTACAACCTTAAGATTTACCAATTTAATAGAGCAAACTATAGGTGAAAATGGTTTAATGAGATTATTAACTACTAGCAAAATTAACTAAACAAGCAAATCAAAGTGTCGGGTTTAAATCAATGGGAGAAAGCTCTGGGAGAAACACCGGGATTCACTACCTATCCTATCCAGATTAATTCACATATTCCAATCACTTTAATCCATATCTCTACAGCCATGATATCACTACTGTGCTAGCTATCCCTGTCGGGAATTACTACATACTAAACAATTAAATCAAATCCTACTGTCGTAGCTCAATGACTTAATTATTTAGCCTGAAGATCGATATCCTATTCAAGACCACATAGCATCTTATTTAATCCACTATCGCTTCGATAAGTTACTATGTCACATGAAATAGGTTCAGTTAATAGGGTTTCACTGTCGCTAATAACCTAATTAACTACAAATCATTGTATTGGTGGCCAGTCAACACAAAGCATTAAATAATTTCATGCAATAGAGATTGGAAGAAAAGAATCATGAATCAATCCATCAAATCAAGAAATAGCTACATCCTATGGTGTTTCCCTCAGAAATTGGGGTTTAGTTCATGACGAAATTAAGATAAATCGATAGGGTTTTGTTCATCATGTTCTAAATCAACAAATAACAACTAATTCGGTTTAGAAAATCCAACCAACTAATCGCTCTCGTTGAACTCAGCTCAAGCCTTGGAAAACTCGATCGCCAATTGGTGAATCGCCTGGTCGCCAAAGCTGGGCTGCTCCCTTCGCTTTTCGCCCAAAGAGTTTGCTCGGTGCTGCTCGCCCTCCAAAACTCTCAATGAATTCGCTCAAAAACCTTAGAGAAACCGATCGAAATTCTCAATCGCCGATGCTTTTTCAAGCCCCACTGCGCGCTGCTGCCGCTGTCTTTTTTTCCTTCGCCCTCGCTGCTTTTTTTCTTTCCCCCAGAGATTTCGTCCTCTCTCCAATCAATTTCTGTTCCCACCTTCCGTGTCCCTTAGCCTTCTCCCGTCCAAAATAATAGCCTCCCAAAAACCCCCTGCCAAGAATTCGTTCCAAACAAAAGAATCCAGTCCCCCCTTTTCAGCCCAAACCAGCCGCCCGCCATTAAGACCAAGCCTCCGACCCACTTTCACTTTTTGTCTCATTAGCCAATTCCTCTGGGCCTTGAGCCCAAGTGAGTAGTCCACAAGTAATTCGAGCCCGATTTATTGCTTGTGCACTCGCTCCTTTTTCGTGCTTTCTCCACCTGTATCATATCAAACTCATGACACTAGGCAGTAATGGTTTTTCAACCATTCTCGGGTTAGCGAGCCCTAAAATAGCACCAATGGGCTAAAACATACCATGAGATAATCACATAAAGTCCAAGAATCCGATATATTAAAGCCGATTATCAGCATGAAAGCTCACCACCATGGCCTACAACAGGGAATTGGTGAGGTTAACCCGCCTACCAACTCGGTAAAGAAAATCAAAAGAGAAAGAGAAACGCACCTGAAACTGAGCATGGATTAAATCCACATACGGATCACTATTCTCTGTATGGGCGGGAAGCACGAGAGCTGCACGAATCACCTTCAATGTGATCAGAGCGGCGGGAAAGGTTTGCGCAGCTGCGATAGGCAACTTAATTTCCCGAAATTGGCTCAGTATCACTTCTTGAAAAGCCTCCATGTTAGGAAACGTATATTGTGCAAGTTGCCCTCTAGAGCTTCCGCCCACCCTTTCTCCTAACTCACCAACTGACCGCCATGACTTCCGCTCACTACCTTCTCTGATCTCTGAGGCTTCTTAGGCACCCCCTCGACCAAGGGCTCCACGCGCGCCGCCTTGACAGCCTTTGGATTCATCGTCGAGCCTGCATTCTTCCACTTCCCATTGCACTTCGGCGGCGCGAGAAGGCCATCAATAGTCATCATCGACGCGACAGAGTTGTAATACACTCGTACAAAGAAGAGTTGTAAGAATGCGATTAATTCAGGAAGAAGCGAGACCAAAGGAAAAGAACATTAACCATCAACAAAAATCTCACAAAGCACGGCTTTGCGTGATCCCTTCTTATGGAGATCCACGCGTTCAGTCATCAACAAGTCATAATGCGTTTGGAGTTGCGGATAAATTCCCAATGTTGAATCAAAGTCTTTCACAGAGTCGTTGGACCATATGGAGGGTAAGGTCACGGGTAAGGAGGGTAAACTCATCGGGCGACGACTTCACATAAAAGAAATTTTCAAACCATTCGTTGCCCAACTTGGGCGACTAGTACAGATACCCAACCAACTGGTTATCGCGCCGCTTAATCGAAAGGTCGTTCCCCCTTTTTGGCCCAGTCAATTGTGGAACCTTCAGCTTATATATCTTGCGGAATTAAACGATCATGGGTAACCCCCAAGATATCATGGTACAACCAATGTTTAAGTTCCGGGTCGCACACATGGAAGGAATGTGTGCCAAAATCATAAAGATGACCCCTATTAGCTAAAAAGTTGGCCGCAAAATTTGCTTCCCTATAGACATGCTCGATTTTCACATCTCAATTAAGGTTCAGAAGAGAATTAAACTGGTTGGCAAAGATGCCGTGGCGGTGGTTCTCGTCTTTGTAGTTCTTGATGATGGCTACAACAGTGGAGGAGTCCAGATTCAACTGGACTTTCTTGTATCCCTTGTTATACGCCAATCTGAGTCCCTCGCCAGCTACTTTCAGTTCAGCACTGGTGATGGAGTAGATTCCAAAGTTGCCGACAAACGCAGCGTGACACTTCACGGCTTCCCTAATCCTTCTCACTGACAACCCAATCTCATCCAAGCCATCAGAAAAAACCAAATTAGTGATATGGGCTACACTACACATATGTAGGTATCTCCCCCCCCCCCCTCGATATGCTGGTCCCCTATTTTTCAAATTTCTCCCTCATATGGAGAACGGCTACGTCATTAGCCGAAGCATTATCAACTGTGCAACAAAGGACATTCTTCAAATCCCACTCATTCAAACACATCAGCACCGCTTGTGCAATGTCCTCCCCTTTATGACTAGTTATTTTCTTGAAGCATATGATCTTCTTAAGGAGCTGCCAACTTCTGGAGATGAAATGAGTTGTGATAGTTATATAATTATCATTCTTCAACGATGTCCAACAATCCGCTGTGATTGAAACCCTCCCCATGCCTTTAATTTTGAAGAAGGAATTCAAGCTATCTTTTCGCCGAATGAACAACTTTGCACAATCTGTCCTCACTCTCTTCCTACTTGGAATTTTGAACATGGGGCAAACTCGAGACATGAAATGACGAAAGCCCTCCCTTTCACAATATATGAACGGTTGCTCATCAAGCATAATCATTTATGCAAAAGCTAACCGTGATTCTTCTTAATTGAACCGCCAAGTTGATATTCCCCCTGTTCCATCCCCAGAGGCACTAGGCTGCAAAGTCAAAGTCGGTTGTTGAAGTAGCTCCAAACGTTTCTTGTCACAAGAGAACTTATGGTTCTTCAAGCCATTTGTGTCATGGCGGCTTGAGACAGCAATGATCATTCCACAACGATAGCATTTTCCTTTACGAACCTCAACCGGTGGTTCTCCTTCTTTAGCAAATAACAGCGAGAATCCAACCCAATGCGGTGATCAAAGGACAGATGCTTTCCGCTTTTCTAGACACTGATGTATCCTTGTTTACTTTCTTCCATACTAGTACCCACATCATTGCTTGCTTGTTCAGTTTGAGGTATTTCAGCCTCATTCTCTAGACTAGGCATGGAGGAGAAAACCAAATTATGAAATGAACAGAGGCTAGCAAGTAGGGGTGGTTGCTGAGGGCTAGGGCCACGAATCCAATCCTAGCACGAATATGAATAAATGTAAATTAATAAAAAACCGATGTGGTGAAACCTCTGTTTTCATAACTGGACCGGAGGCTGAACCGAAAAAGTTGGTGGTTTAAGATTCAGTGGTTAACCATTACAAAACCGTTGGTGAACTATTGATAGAATCGTCCATGATATAACATATAAGACTTGTATATTACATGAATTTAAAAATAAAGTTATCATTGACTATAAATAATTTCAAATTCATATCATCACCAAAATATTTAATAAATCATCCAAACCATCTAACAAAAAAACCATCTATTTTTAATTCAAAATAAAAAAATTACAGTGTCGGTCGATAATGGACAACGTAAAGTCGACAACATTTACTCTCCATCTTGTCACCACGAATTGCTCACCAACGCAAGGGAGCTATAATATAACATTTACTCAACCTACAAAGGGGGATTGATTGGATAACATTCTCTCTCTACAATACTTAAACTCTGTCCTCTCTTGAAATGCTCTGACTTCTCTCTTCCGTAACCCTCTTCATTGATCCATTCTCATTCCTTATCGAATAAAGAACTTGTTCCGTCCTCCTACCCCACCAGCCTTGCACAAACAGAAATGTATACTACAAGCAGGATTTTGAGTGCTTGTGAACACTTCCATACGCTTTACATTTGATTTTCTCCCTCATTTTTAGCACGCTAATTCCCCCCCCCCCCCATCCCATAAATGCATTTTTATGCATTAAAAGTGTAAAAAATCTGACTACAATTAGGGGTGGCATTCGGTTATGCTGTTAACGATATAACTGATTGTTGTACCGATATCCACGATAATCGTCTAACCGTTAACCGTGAGGTATCGGTATGCAGTGGCTGATATGGTGGGAACGGTATACCTAGGGTTGGGAAATGGTGCGGTCTGGTCCAGACCAGACCATCTATACGGTCTATGGTCCAAATCGAGAGGCTAAAGTATAGACCACGGACCAGACCACAGACTATACGGTTCGGTCCAGACCATGCCTGTGCGGTTTGGTTCGGTCTGGTCTGGTCCAGATAGACCACACTCAACAAAAAATGAATAATTTGTTTAGTCAACCACACAAATAATTGAACCAATAACCAGGAAAAATAATTGTTATTTGCCTTAAATCATTAATCCTAACATGCATGAATAATTTTGATACTCTAAATCTTAGTACATACCAAAGATACAAAGTAAAAGCATCCCAACTTGCACCATAACGTCATAAACATTAACATAATGTCATATGGAGACACGATTATCTCTACTCTCTAGTTAAATGTGGTTGTGAATTAAGGAGGGACGAGATTCACAAAACTAAGGTTGAGACTTGGGTGTCGTTTTGGGAGTTGGGAGAGTGGTCGCATGGGCTGTTAACACGTATTTACAAGTCAGTTGGGTCCACGGTTTGGTCTGGTAAACCACGGTCTAGACCAGACCAAACCAAGATATCAAAATATAAAATAGTACAGACCATGGACCAGACCAGACCATACTTAACGGTCTACGGTCCGGACCAAACTGTACGGTACGGTTTGGACCACGGTTTTTCTGACGGTCTGGTTTATTTTCCCAGCCCTAGGTGTACCGGCTTCCAACCCGGTTATAACCGCTGGTATACCGGTATAATCGGAACAACCGGATTAAGGCTGAAACGGCAGCATGAATAAAATAAATTTTGCAGTAGAGGAGATTTGGTGGCAATCGAACAAAGAAACCAGAATTGTCGCCCTCTAGCTTCTCCCCATCTCGATTCTCGGCTGCGGCGGCAGAAAACCAGAAGTTGTCGCCATCGACCTCCACCATTCCACCGAGCATCAGGGGCCGCCAACGTCAGCTAGTCGAAGCCCATCCTCCCTCTAATCTCTGTCACTCACTCATCTCGCAACCGGCCAGCGACGAATCGACGCTTCCTCTTCCCCAGTCGCCGGCGAGGAGTCGTCTCCACCCTCACTCATCTCCTGGCCGGCCAGTCATGGACCTGCAGTCGAAGCCATGGACCTGTTGTCTTGATGTAGTTTATGGTGGATAAATAGATCAATTGATGTGTTGTGTAAGAGTTGGGTAGTTTACGTTAAGTCTTTGTTCAGTTGTTTTTATGTTTGAGAAGACAGAATGAGTTATTTGGGGGTTTGGATGGTTGTTTAGCAGTAGATTTAGGAGTTTGTTAGCTGTTGCTTCATGCTTGTACCTAGGAACGTGGGGACCGAGGATGGTTTGTTGTGCCGAATTATTAGGTGTAAATCCTTTCCATTACATTATTACATTATGGAGGTTTTCCTCCAGAACCCCGATGGTTCCACTTTTCCTGCTCCCAACGCAGAGGACGGAGGGCTGTTTTTGTCAAATTAATCTAACTTATATTCGTTGTAAATAAATGTAAAAAAGTGGGCCTAGAGTGCGAAATTGTGGAGCTAGAATGGTGAAGTCCCATGTTCATTCTCGCCAAACTAAAAAAAAAAACTTTCTTTTTAATTAATTTATTAATTGTGCATGTAATTCCAATGTCCATTCTTGCCAAACTAAAAAAAACATTTCCTTTTAATTAATATTTTATATATACTTCATATTATTGGTGTTTGCAGCTGCAACTTGAATGTGTACCACAATGTTAAAGTATAAATTCAATTTGTATAATAAAGTAATTTGTACGAAACTATATAGCTACAAACTGTACCATAATGTTAAAGTTATACGTTCAGTTTGTATCATAAATGAATATGTGTGAAAAATATAGGTACAACTAAATTTGTAACATGATATTAAAGGTTCAAGTTCAGTTTGTACTATAAATTGTTGTACAAAAAAGTATAGACACAAAATGAACTTGATTATAGCGTTAATTATATAAGTTCAATTCGTATCATAAATATTTTTATTTTAAATGAAAGCAACAATAGTAGGTATTGTAAAATTCATCTCTATACATTTATTGAAATTATTATTAGCAGCGGTATTTTATTGTATCCATTTAACTAAAAACAAATTAATTAAACAAAATTATATACATTTTGACATATTTGGAATTAAAAAGTATGTTAGTCTATCATCATATATAATAGCATCCCATGAACTATCAATTCTACTTGATCTATGCGATAATTCCTAATCGTATTCTCCACCATCATCAATTTTTGTTAGATTGTTATGAAAGCGAGTCTCACCTTACTTACTGGACTTTGACTAAGCTTCCAATCTTCCTAAAGTCAACTTACCAATGATCATGCTACTCTCCACCTAATTCATGATTTACAAATTAAAAATAAAACCACCACAGATAGAAATAGCATTCATGGCAAGTTGAATTATTTTCATTGTCGACCACTAAACTTTCCTAAGCCATTTTTAAAAATTGGGAAATAAAAGCTGCAGATATATAAGAAAAAATAAACGTATTTATTGGAGAATAATCAACGTCTATAAATTATTTATTAATTTTTCAATCTACAAATGATCAAATTTTAATTTTGGTTGCTGGGTTGTTTGCATTGGGGGAAGAAAAAATCTCATAAAATGTTCATGAGACGTAAATTCTAGTGCATGTAATGTTTAGTGTGTTAAATATTTTACTATTGAAGATTGACTTATGATGAAAAAATATGAAAAACCTATTTTGAAGATACAAGTTTAGTTAAGGAAGACAAATGCATTATAATTGGTGGAGATGAAGGTCTTTAGAGGGCAAAGACAATAATCACAAGAAATCAAAAATAAATTTTGCAATAATGCATGACTTTTGTTTTTACTTTTAGTAATGACTTTAGTCAATATATCGGATTAGCATGTTGAAAATTATACCAGTAAATGATTTGAAAATTTTTATGATATGACTTATGTTTATCTGTACAATTAATCCGGCCAACAGGCGGGTCCAAATCTAGTACTGTATATATACTTTACTAGCTTGCTTTCAATAATATTATCAAGTTTTCCCTTCCCTTGTGTAACCCTCACCAGTCGGAAACAAAGATCGGAATTGAAAGTGGCTGTCTATCTATGATCAGTTGGTATAACCGGTTGATAATTGGTAACCGGTTATTTGATTAATTGGCTATAAATCGATATCGGTAGTCGATATTTGTTTTGTCAATTGCAGTATATCATTAACCGGTTGATCGGTAATCGATTTAACCGGTAACCGACCGATTACCCACCCTAACTACAATGTAGATAAGTAGTTAAGTACATAGCACATAATTTTCCATCCATTCTAAGTAAACTACATGATATCCACAACCCGACCGTCTTTTGATGACTGTGAACTCATGATCCTGGAGAGGGGTCTTTCTTGATGCGATATCGACTCGCACGATATTTAATTCCCGTGGTCCAAAAATGATCAATCACGTGAACAGCGGCGGATCCAGAACACAGAAGAGCACTGGGCCGAGTTTCATTAGAAAATTGAATAGTAAAAAAACATAATGATTATAGTTTTTTTCCAATGTAAATTGTACACGACGGTAATTTAATTTAGTGATGCATCAATAATGAAGCCTACATCCATACCAATAGTATACACTGTTTCAAATAAAATACTTGAGCAATCGCCAAGAAATTCATCGCTCATTTTGTTGAGCAAATCAGTTCTCACATATTCCATTGTTGAAAAGGTTCTCTTCGTAGTAGCTGTTGAAACGAGCAACATTAACACTAGACAAATCAATCGACTAATCAATTGGCATTGTGTGTCAATCCGTGCATCCACCAACTGCTCTAGTAAGTTTTCAAGGGAACAAACCTCATTTTTTTTTAGTCTTTTACGTTTTAAACTTTTAGAATTTTAGGTTTCATTGTTTTTTTTATATGCATAATCTTTGGGGCTAAAATTTAGAGGCTAAATTTAGAGTAGTGATTTGAATATGGTCATCTGAATCATTTTTCTAGTTATACCCAATTTTATTATAAAATCACACTAAGCCGAATGCCTAAAATCGAAAAATTTATAAGGACTATACTAACTACGGATCCAGAGGAAGACTAGGCCGGGGCCTGGGGTGGCCACCCCTGGATCCGCCACTGCACGTGAAGACAACTTGCTTGGATTCAACTTACGGAAATTCGGAGTCCGCCACGGAGAAGGAAAACTTGCAGCAAGCGGTGCATTGGAGATTTATTTGTTTTCATTATTTGATTATTGTTTTAATTGTCCAGGAGTTTAATTTATTTAATTAGTATAATGTTTTTATTAGTTAGTTTGGGATTTGTTTTCCTATTTCTTTTAGGTTAGTTTTATGTTTTTGAGACCTCTATAAATAGAGGATGTAAGACCTACGAATTTGGTACCCAACATTCAAGTTATCAATTAAGAGTTTTTACTCGTGTTCCTTTGTGAACGTTTGTGCAAGCTTCTGTCGGGAGTCTCCAGGAGTTTCACGTGTCTCTTATCAACTAGAGAACGCGTCTAGTTGTGGCGAGCTTCTACCCAATAGCGATTGGTCTTATTCACGAGTGGATGATTGTTGGATTGGTTTCATATACCAATTGGCCTTTCACACGAGTTGGAATCTGTTTGATCGTGTTCCATATCTATCCTTTATTTTCAAGTTGTCAAGAAAAGCTTCGAAAATTCCGTAAAAAAAAGGAAGACTGCGTACTTTGTTCATATAATCCGAGTTCGAGGATTCTCTTCGGATTTGGATCTCATCATCTCTTCTTATTAAAAAAAAAACACCTATAGAGGGAATCTCTATTGCAGTCAACATACAAATAATATTTTGAACTTATGTTTCAAAAAATTTACGATGATGATCTTTTTTATCTAGAGACACCAATGTTGGTAATCAAAATTGAAAATACGAATGAGTTTGTTGCCAACCTCTGTGAAAATGGGGCGATATAGTGTAAAACGTGTTGCTAACTTAACCTCATATTGTAATCTTACTCGAACCAACCCAAAAGGAGTGAGATAAGTGTTCTTGTTAAGGTGCTTATTAGGTGAGCTAACTTAGGTCATCGACATTTAACATAGTTGGGTAGCCTAGGGTCAACATTTATTTGAGGAAATTAGTGATACATTCACCATTTAACCTTCCACAATATCGACAACTTTTTGTACAAATCCAAAAGACCAAAACTAATAGTAAACATGGGCCAGCCTGCCCGGGCCCGGCCCAGGCCCCAATCCCATTACACAACACAGCCACGTTGATCAAAATTCAAAACGTAACCAAAAGAAAGAAAAACAAAAACAGAAGAAGATATGGTAGCGGAGAAGCCACCACGTGCTTCACGCGCTGGTTTTCTTCTCGCACTACTGCTACAGACTACAGTACTACCCTACATACGCATCACTGCTGACTGCCGCCCCTCCACCGCATCATTCGCCGGCATCCGGCAGCTAGCATCGTTACCTCCGCCTGCTCTCCTGCCGGCCGAATCTCCCCTTTGATTCAAGCTGACAGAAAAATCGAAACCGATTCCAAACAAACGTATCCCTAAATTTCCCACCTAATCAGATCGTGCATCCGCAGAAGAGGAAGAAGAAGCAGAGCATGGAGACGAGGGCGACGGACTCCACCGCAGAGACCAAGCTCCAGACGAGTTCGTCGACGATCGAGACGCCGAGCTCCGACCACCGCTGCGGACCCCAATTCTGGACACCCCGGCGGACCCACCGAGGGGTTAGGTAGGATGCGGTGATGAAGCCGGGCCACCGCGGGAGGGCGGAATAAGCGAAGTCGAGCCTCAGGCATCGAAACAACATCGTCGCCGTTCAGTTTCTAGGGCCGCTTGAATTCCCGATCTCCCTCGATTGGGCGGGGTGTTCTATGTTTCTATTTCGCTCGCTCTGTGTGTTTGGTTTATGTAGACGGCAGGCGGAAGGGAAAGTGGGAAGGCGGGGGGAAAAAGAGGGATTTTCCCTCCTTTTCTGGGTTGGGCCGCTAGTTTGAGATAGAAAACTCCTTCCCTTTTTTCGTTATTTTTAAATTCCTTGCATAAATTATTCATCGAAAGGAAATTCTGTGTAAACTCTAGCCAAGTGGGGAGGATAAAATACTAGGCTTATCGAGGTTGAATTATTGCTCGTTATAAAAGGACCTGGACCGGAATATCACCGAGACCAAATTGATTTATTGATTATGTCACACTTGAGCAGCAAGTATTTTAATAAGTAAATGGTTTTATAATTCATCAAAATTTTAATCATGATTAGATTGGAATTTATCGTCTTAGTTTTCACTCTTCCGAATTGTTATACTAACAGAATCGGATATTCGATTGGATTTGATTCAATTACAATTTATAATTACTAGTTTTTACCCGCCCGTTGGACGGTGTATTTTGTTTGGTTGTTTTATAATTCGTTATAGTATACTAATTGTTAATATTAAATATGTTTGCTAAGATAATATACATGGAATTGTAAATCCCACTTACCTTATTTTAGGTATTATTTCATACTTTTATACCTTTTGTTTATTTATGAACATTTTAATTTTATTAACTGAGTTCTTTGTAGACAGTTCTTTATTGATTTAGATTTTTTTTTATCGAACTCGCCCTTTAAGATTATAAACATAAGATATTATTCATTCTTTAGCACAGAATTGTGACAAAGAAGTTAAAAAACTTACGGCCACACAAGAAGAAGTTAGAATAAGAAAATGTGCTTCAATTAATAATAATAAAAATAAGCGAAGAGCTTTTTATTTTCTCTCCCTTCTCATATGTCGGTATATGATAATATAGAATATTCCGATCTAAATCCCATGAATATCGTGTATTATCACTTACACATACAATTTTGGAATAATGAGGAAACTCATTAGCATCCACGTCCATCAATCTTCCATGTACTTGTTTAATTACCTTGAAATGTTCTAGCAAAACCAATCACAAACAAAACTATCAATTGTCACTAACTTATTAAAGCAATATTTTCAGCAAATTAAACTGCATATAATTAAACACAATTTATATTTTGTAGAGAGCTACATATCTCCTGCAGAAAAGAATTGTGCTTTATTACCTAACAACAACATAGACAAATAATGAAAGGAGCAGTCTTCAATACAACTCAACTTATTTTATCATTCAGATTCCTCATTTGTGAACTGAATATATGCATCAATCCAAATAGTAGTTTGTAAGAAAACAATCATGTCAAAATCAATCTTTAGTTAGGGATTCAATGCAGAAAAATTCACCTTAATGAAACAAACAAATGTCACCGCAAACATGTAGAAATTAAAAAATCATCGAAATAAACAACCGATAAACCACCATTATCATTTTCTTTCTTCTTCGCGACCTTTATAAAACCCCAATTATGTTCCCTTCTACTTATAACCCATTTGTTACCTACTAATTACTAACCAGATCATCATTGTATAGCTAGCTAGTAGTAGCATGTCAATCATGAACATAAAATATAATAAACAATCATCACAACTCTACTTTCCATTTCAACATTCAAGAAATCGGGTTGCAATAGGCATTCAAGAAAAACGATCAATTATTCAACCAAAGGAGGTATGCCCTAAGTCCAACCAATTAACCCTTCTAATTATATTTTATATACATGAAAGTATATGGCGACCCTTCTCAGTAAAAAACAAAGAAGAAATATATTCACTCATCGAGAGTGGGAAAATTTACCATCCAGCAGTCGTAATTTGGAAGAAATTAAGAAAAGAATGGGAAAAATAGTATAACTCGGCCAGTCAACCACAAACAATAACATATCGCTGAGAAAGTGAGACCAGTTGCCAGCTTCAGATCAAGGAGGAAGAGGGAGCAGTCGACAACCCTCGGTTTGGTTCACCTCATCTTCACAATGATCATATTAACTTTTTTCGTCAATAGGCAAAAATATTTTACAACTGCTCAAAATTTTGTCATCTTATCGTTGTCTCGTGTAATTTCTGCCTCCTATTCTCATACAAAGAAAAAAAATCGTATGCATTACCATTTCCTTCTCAAAAAATTTAGCAACTAATAAGAGGGCTTTGTTTATTTTTATGGTGGTTGACATACTTTATTGATTTCTTATTTTCAATGTTGGATTTTATTTCTAGAGAGACAATCAAAATGGGGAAAGGGATAGAAACAAATTAAAAGTTTGCATTAATAATTAATATGTTTTCATTTAATCGAAATGAATCAGAAGTTTTTTAAAAAATAACAATTATTGTTCTGTCAAGTTTATATTCAAACATTTTGCTACATAATTTATACTTGTTTTATTTGATAGGTATAAGTGAGTGTTTGATAGCAAAAAACATATAGTCATATCGTTCATTTCTCAAAGTCGATTGATTGTCAAACGTTTATTTTCTCTTAGATCATCGTTTATATTTTGTATTGAAAAATATTAATATTTATGTGTGTGCTTGTTTTTTTCTTCATCAAAATGTAACTTATTATTAATTTTTAGTAAAAATGAGTAGAAAATTTACTTAATCAGATTTAATCAGTTTGGGTTAAACAAATACAATATATGTCACTCTCTATTTCCATCTTTATAGTTTGTTTAATCGAATTTTTTTTATTACTTAGGTGTGTATTTTTTGTTTAAATGTTTCCTAAAAATTTAACTTATTTTAATTTTAGTAAAAATGAGTAGAATTATTAAAAGAAGAGAGAGACAACTTCATAAATAGATCAATAAATAGTTTTTTGTTTGAAAAACAATTGTCCACCTTGGCAACTTGTGCATTCACCAAGTGCTTATGTGGCAAGAAGTTATTTTTGAATAGCCATAATATTTAGTATAGATATAGATAGATAGATAGATAGATAGATAGATAGATATAGATAGATAGATAGATAGATAGATGTTAACACCAAAATGTGTCCTAGTATATTCTTTGTTCTCAATCCATGCCGACCTAATGATCATAACATGATCAACACACTTTTCTAATTTTTAGTTTTTACATGAATATTGAATGCGCTCTATTCACATTTTGAAGTTAAACATATGAATTAGGTATTGTAAGAAGTTATTTGATCAAAATAATTGGTTTGAAAAAATAAATGAATTTTTTTTTATGAATTGATATCCACATTTTTAGTTACTCTTAACAATGACCAATTGTAACCAATGAAAGGGACTGCAGTATAGTGACATAAGTAATATATATCGAATCCACCGGTCTCTATAGTTATTATTACCTAGCTTTAATTCATTATCTAGCAAACCAGATTAAGATAGAAGAGCTATAACTACTCTAACAAACTACAGTTAAAGTTAATCTGATTACAAGTTGAGAACTCACTCAGGTATAATTTCCCCTAGCTCCTAAGTTAAGTCCAAGTTATAAATCCCTATGGTTGTTTTACTGTTGATTAAACTGCAGAAGATCCGAAAATAGTTTGGAATCTTTTAATTTGACCAAGCCCTCTTAGACAGAATGCCCGTCAGGGCGACTAGCCTTCACCGGGATAGTCTACTAAGGCGATTCACACTGATCTCCTTTACTTGGAACAATTTCAGTACAAAGCAGTGAATAGATTACTTTCGCACAATCAGTTCACTACTATCAATAAAGGAAGCTCTCTTAACCTAATAAGATACTATTTATCATAGGTTAAACTAGAAACCAATAGAATGTGATCAAGATCCAATTGACTCAACAAAACATGTCTCAACTTATTATAATCAAACAGTATAGCATCCAAAAGGTTCAAACAACAAAGATCCTACCTAACATATGGAACTAGGGTTTCTCAAAACCTAAGTAAAGGGAAGTTACTCCATAGAGAAGAGAGAGAATGCGGAAATCTGTTCTAGATCTTCAATCTACATCTCCAAGCTTGATTCCTGAGTTCCAATGGTGAAGAAATCCTCCAAAATAGCTCCAAGAATGATCCCAACTTGCTCTCTCTCTCTAGGGTTCGTCCCTTGAGTGTTTGGGGTCCAAAATCCAGCTCTCCCCCTCCAAAAATCGCAAAACAACCTTTATACCCGAAGTTGGAATTTGCCCACTCAATATGCATGCCCGTGCAAATCAATGCACTGCCCGTATAAACTCCAGAACGCACCGTTTCACTTGATTGAGCATGGGGGAAGGCAGGACCAACACACGACCCGTGCATAATTGAGCCTTTCCCTTGCAAATCTCTGGAAAACCTGTACGGTGTGGGAGCACCATTGCACGTCTCGTGCAAATCAAAGTTTTGGCTGTGCAAACTCCCTGGAAACCTTTGCATGGCCGTGCATATATGCACACCATTGTGCACATTTTTCAGCATGTACTCCTAAGCTCCGTTTAAGCTCATTTGACCTCTAATTGACCCAAAACTTGTGTCAAATCTTTCCTTTACTTGTTAGGTCATGAAATATCACAAACAAGTACTACCTTACGTAAAACGGGTCAAGAAACGATCAATTGCCAAGTTAAAAGATCAAGAAATGAAGGGTAAAATATGTGCAAATACAGTGTTATCAATGAGTTATTTTAATTGACTAACTTCTGAATTATTTAACTAACACAAAAAATATAATTATCTAAAATAACTTAAAACCATCACAAATTAAAATAACGCACTGTCTTACATCCGAATACCACATATATAAAATAATACATACAAACGAGCCATAAACATTAGGGGTGTTCAAATGGTTACCATGGTTATTACCAAACAAAACAAGGCTAAACTTCATTAACCATGAAATACAATATCATAACCAAACCGTACAAACTAATACAACAACCAAATTAACCAAACTAAAGTTTAATCGGTTTGGTTAATTGGTTAACCAGATTAACCAATATAAAATCACATTATCATTAAGTGAGAAAATTTTCGGTTAATTTATCAATTCACAATTTATATAATGAATAAAACATAACAATCAACACTTGGTTATAGTTGACCTTTAACATAAATACATGCAACTAAGACAATTATCTTAAGGTTAGTATAGAAGTATTCACCTAGCAAAAATTTATCACAATAATATGGGTTAATGAATTGTTGTGTTTGTTTGAATTGACTTAGCCTTTTAGCAATTTTAATAGGTTGAAAAGGACCTTGCTTTCAAGTTTTCATCCAACATAATCTATGAGATTTATCTAATTAGGCGTTCATATGTTGTGATCTACACTCTACATATACAAATATACATTATAGAAACAATATCAAGCTTCATA